CCGCCCTGGCGGGGGGTCAGGCTGGAAGATCTACTAGGTCCCTTCCGACCCTAAATCTATGAAACTATGACACTGGCATTTTTAAGGCATAAAAGAGGTTGGCCCTTTCGCAGCCTATTTTTTAATAAAACAAAGGTTTCCCTTCAGTAGGTAATCCTCACACACACAAACCCTCCACATGCTCCAGCTATGTGCTTGTCATCCCATCCCCCCGTTAGCTACTCTGCACTGACTGGAATAAAATCAAGTGATGCATCTGTTCTGATGTCGAAAGTAGTTCGCTTTGCCATTAGCCACATTCAGCCTGAAATTGAACCTGGCAAGCAGCTGGTACGCTTAGAGCTAGTTTTGCTCCTAGACATATGTGTTTTGACGGGAATTGTGGCCTCCTTTGGAGCACATATCAGGGCGCTATGGAGAAAAGCAAATTTAAAAACAAAAGAAGAAAATCAGTCTGTAACACTGAGTGTGGGTGATTAATTTGGAACTATAGGTGATTAATTTGGACATCCTTCACACTAGCCTGCCTGCTCATTCAAGCTATTTCTTCTTCAAATGTTGCTGTTATTTCCTTTTCCTCCCATCTGAAGTGATCAGACCATCAGGAGTTGAACAGATACCAGCTCAGTTCAAGCAGTCATCCCTGGTTACCTCCACTGCAAGCTGAACATGAGGCTCTGATGCCTGCTGTGGCTTCAGTATGGCAGTGAGTTTCTCTTGGATACCAACCCCCTACTTGAAGTTCACAAATTGGGAACACGTGGTTAAGCAATGTTCTCAATCTCTTGCTTTTTAACTGAAAAAAGCATTTGGAATAGATAACAGCATCATGAGGTATCTTGCTATTCCCTCATGGCTTCTCACCACACTTCCAGAAAAACACAGGACGGCGGAACTGAATATGATGTTGTAGTGGCTTAATTCCTGATGCTGAATCGGTGCACTATTCTGCTCATCTCTTTGCACACTGAGCATGAAAAGTTACTCCCTGTGCCCAAGCATTTACAGTCGAAGCCTCCAATTCATGAAGGAGGCCTACACCCCAATTCATGAATGCATTTAAGCAGAAGTTTGAGAATGTGCTGAAAGTCAAAGGGGCTTCAACCCACATGGAAAATTAAGCACACATATTTGAAGTTAAGCTTCAACACATATATGAATAGGGGTACAGTCCTGCATTATGGCCTAAATATGTTCCTTCCCATTTCTCATTGCTACCTGCACTGAGAGTGACAGGATTAAAAGAAGTCAAATTATTTGTTTGACTGAAAACCACAGCTTCATGGAAACTGCACTGATTTGACTAAGAGGCCAATTCAACTCATCTACCTAACCTTCTTTTGGAGGTAATCTTTTGTTTACCCCCCAGGGTTGCCAGCCAAGGATGATTACACAAAGGGATGCCATGTGAGTCAATACCCGAGTGGGAACTTGAACTGCAGTTTTGGTTGAGATTGGCTATAAAGTGAATTTTCTGTTACCGTACCACCTCCTTATCAAAGAGTCCTAAGCCAAACACGTTTTTCAGCTGCCAGATAAGCTTTGGTACACCTGTATAACATCATGTGCCAGAGCGTCAGCTGATGTGCACGGTTTTATGACAGTTACACCAGCTGGGAATCTGCCCCCATGAACCGATATGGGCCCAAAACCAGCTCCACCTTTCAATGGGTAAGTAGCACTTATGTAGCTAACTTAAGCTGCCTAAGTAGCATTTGGGTCATTTATGCAGAGTATAGATCCTTCTCCTGTAGATACATTATTCCATGCGTTGACCTCCAGAGGCATCCTGGGAACGAAGAAAAGTTTGAAGAGTCAGTCCCACTAATTAAATACTCATAAGCAACAATGTAAATACCTTTTAATAGCAAATTTAATAATGAAATACTGATGTGATATAAATGACCAAATGGTACAGGTAAGTCATATAACCAATTGATTAAAATTTATAAAATGTGCATTCATCTAAAGAACTAAGACTCTTATTTAAAAAGCCTAACAGATGGCCAGCCTGTTGGGGAAAAGGACATCTTATCTAGGTTTCAAATCAAGTTTTAAAACAGAACTTGATTCATCTTCAGCTGGGCTGTTCAGCAAGGACAGTAGTTCAAGGCTGAACAGCAAAGATGCCAAGGTGAACATAGATTATTATACTCTATTGCCTGGCCCAGTATCAAAAAGCTTACTAAATAAGGCCAACATTTAAAAAAAAGTTTTAATAGGTTCTGCTCCAATTAATATTCATATGCCTATTTATATCAACTATTAAGCTATATCTTGGCCCAAACCAAATGTAACTGGAATAAAGCCACTAAATGTGCTCTAAGCAACCTTTAGCTTATTTCTTTTGACCTGTATTTCTTGGACTTTCTAAAAATATTCTCACCTCTGACATTCTGTAGCATGCACATTTCCTTTGCCTCTTCTCTTACCTAAACTTTGGGCAAGCAAATACAAACAAATGCTTTACCATATTGCCATTAAGTAGCTTAGAGCCTACTATAGTCTACGCATGTAAATCACAAACAGCTGAGGAGGGCCCTTGCTCCTTTGAATATAATGGTTACTTGCCCTGCAAGTGATACCCAAGTTAGAGACCCCACTCACTTAGTGGGGTTTAAATCTACATCTTCCTCTTTCCTGCAAAGTTCTTCAACCACCCTGTGGACTTTGACCTTTCTGTAAAAGCTGGTTCACTGGGCTGCCAAGAGGGGAAGATATGTGGACTTGAAAAATCAAGGCTGAGAGTAGAGGGTGCAGTGGTCCAGACCCCAGTGCGTTTTTGAATTTAATAGTCATTGGATAGACAGCAGCAGAATATCTTCTACCCCACTGACCAACTCACTTAGCCATTTTAGTGTTGCAGGGTGGTCCAGATCCCAAATCAGGGCCTCATCATATGAAGTACTATACAGACATAATAGAAGACAGTCCCTGCTCCCGTTGTAGTCTTAGCTCAACAGGCAGGTGAGAGAAATCTGGCAATGATAAGGAAGAGCAAGATAGCGGAAGTACAGCATCTTTCTCCACATATGGTTGTGCACACAGCTTTCTGTGTAGATTTTTGACAAATTCTTTTTTTTTTTCACTAATGGAGGCAAATAAACCAGTCAGTAGCTGTAACCTGAGGTTTGATTTCAGCACTTTCACACAAGCAGAAAAACTGAAGTCTGTTTGCAGCTCAGTTTTACAGTGGGTTTTTGGTTATGCACCATTATGTTTCTGATTTCTGTGTTTAGGGCTTTGGGGAAAGGTTTCCAGAGTGACAGCTCACCAGTGCTACTAATTACCTTCCCAGTTCATCAATTGTAAATGGTTGTCTTCCCAGCTTTTTCATGCGCTTCTGGAGAATACCTGGAAATGAAGAACCAGGTGTGCAGTAAATGTGCCGAGGGGACCTATTCCTTGGGGAGTGGGATCAAATTTGATGAATGGGATGAACTGCCAGCAGGATTCTCCAATGTGGCAACTTTCATGGATACTACTATCGGCGCAGCTGAGAATAAAGCAGACAGCTGTGACAAGTAAGAAAGAACCTTATGGACTGATCTGCAGCCACACTCTCAAAAGAGTTTTGACTCTCTTGGATTTAGTGGGATTAGCACATAGTTTTGCTGTGGGGAAACAGTTGCTTTGTTAGCATACTAACATAGATTTTGCATGGTGTTAACAGAGGAACAGTAACTGATATACAGTGCCTATCAGAATGGGACCCAGTATCATCTTTTAATGGGAGTTCTCAAGAAAACGAGGGGAGAGTGGTGCCCACTATGCTGTCTAGATGCATACAAACAAAGACATTTTGCAATCAAAGCGAAGTCTGCATAGTACCAGTCAGCATACTGCAGGGTTATTGAATAATGAAAAATATAGGAGAAATACAACAAGCCCTATCTGACCTGCTGCAGTTGCTTTGCACTGGCCCATCAGCATAAAGTCAATTTAACTAATCACATGAGCATTCCTCTATCCCAGGGGAAGGGAGGGGAGCAGTCCTCAGATGACATAAGGCCAGGATAACAGGCATGATAAGAGTAGCAAGGGCTCACTTGCTTTCAGCCCATCTTCACTTTCCTAATGGCCTTCTATGGGTTATTACTCATTAGCAAAACTAAGAACAGCCTGGGGCTTCTGTGACTTGTGCCTCAGTCATTCCAAGACTGATTTAAAGTAAAAGGGTGCTTGTACATATGACAATGTTACCATATACACGTGTTGAAAATTTCCTTTGTGTGGCTTAATGGTGTTACACTTTACACATACTTGTGTTTTGGGGGTTTACATGAGTTTGCATCGTCACAAACTAAACCACATCCCAATGTAGTTTAGTTTGCAATGTTGCATCTTGGAATGTTGCAGTCATTAATCTGTCTGCTCACCCCACAGATGCAGGGGAGGCTGGCAGGCTGCACTGAAAAAAAAGGATCAGGCCCCTCACTGCTTCTACTTTCAGCAGGTGCCTGTGACCACCAGGATACCTGGGGTTGCCTGGGACCAGGCTGGCTTGCCCCTGGGGCAGTGCAGAGAGGTGGCAGGAGGGTGGCTGGGTGTGCTGGCAGCCAGAGAAGGTGGTGGGGATGGTGCACGGGGTGCTGGAAGCCCAGGTGGGCTTGGGGAAGACTTGGATCAGGAGCTTCTGAGCTGTGGCAGCACCTGGCCCACAAGTAGCCTGCCCAGCTGGCTCCAGGGGGCACCGCCACTGCGGAGGGAAGGACTGGGGCCCCCACAACTCAGGGGCTACTTGGCCCACTGGCAGCTCACTCCATGGCTGTAGGAGAGGCAGGCAGGCTTTGCTGGAAAAAAAGAAAAAGAAAGGATCAGGTCCTTCACCACGTCTGCCTTCAGTAGGCACCTGCAGCTGCCAGGACAATGATGTGTATACAGCGACGGAAAAATAAAACCCACCGTTTTAATTAAAAACTCACCGTTTCGGTTTAGGGGGCATAGAATGTAACCCTGAAGGACTAAACCCCCGTCACGTGTACAAGCGCCCAAAGTGTTTTGAAGCTGTCTCGAAAGCTATGCCATCCTCAGTAGCTGAGAAGGGCTGTTCATGAGGCTCTGAGATTTGATATTTTAGAACACGGGTCAGAACACCTTCCAGCGTAGGGTACATGAGACATCCCACCATGGGCTAAAAAAGCTCTGAGAAAAGGTAAACTTTGCAGAGCTCATTACAGTTACTGTGAAAAATGCATCTGAAGCCAATGTTAGAGGTAGGGAATGAATTTGTGCCCCTTATGAAGCAATATAGTTTTATATAAGCCATATGTTTATAGAAGGATGTTAAAAATGTCTTCCCCGTGCCTGTGCTCTAAAACCAGGTTTGTTTTGTTTATGTTTATCAGCTCCTCATGGACGCCTCGTGGGAATTACATCGAGTCTAATAGGGATGACTGCACGGTTTCTCTGATCTACGCAGTTCATTTGAAGAAGTCTGGCTCTGTCTTCTTTGAATACCAGTATATTGACAACAACATCTTCTTTGAGTTTTTTGTAAGGGCTTTTCTACACCGAATATAACCCCTAGAGTAAAAGGACATGTTCCAGATAAAGGCCTACACTGGAAACTGTTTATTTTTCTCCTTCTCTACCCATTTAGTCTGAACAAACTTTAAAAAATCTCATTTTTCCTTGTTTACACTGCCTGTTAACGTCTTTACATTACATTCACAACTGGCCTATGCTGACTGCTTTCATTGTTGGGTAGGTTTTTCAAAAGTACCTAAGTAGTTAGGCAGAAAGCTCCTGTACATTTGTGTCCAACGTTTCTGTCACTGTTCTCCTAGTTATAGGGGTTTATGGCATCCTACCATAACGTTGAAATCAGCAGAGAATCTGCTTTCACATAGTTCTTCTGAATGCCACAAAAACATTTCTGACCATATTGAGTTCCATGATATTCCTTGGAGTAGTTTTTTTTCTCCTTTGCCAAAGTTTTGAGTCTGGATAATGAGCCTGATCTTAAAATTAATCCTTATATGAGTCTTGTTCCTTCATATGGATAGGTCTGTGGATTTCAGGGGAACTGCTAAGAGAACAAGGGCTCCAGGTTGGTTCTAGGGTCCCTTTAACTTGGAAGAATGCAGTCTACTTTGGTACTACTACACCTGTGTATAGGTCCTAGAGCAGGGGCTGGCAACATTTATAAGCCACAGGCCAGAACAACTTGGTCTCAGGCTGGTGTGGGCTGGATGGCTTCAGCAGTGCATCAGCAGCAGGAGGGTTGCTTGTGTCCACACTGGGGCCAGGCACTGCCACCATTTTTCCCAGCCCTTTCCTCCCTGCCCAGATCCCAGGCTGTGGTGCAAGCAGGGCTGGGGCTGGGCAGTCTGGGAGCTTGCCCCGCTACTGCCGCTTCTTCCTAGCTGAAACTTGCTCAGCCCTGGCTCACTTTTCTACCAGCTGGAAGCTGCACCTGCAACAGGGTTGCGGGATGGGCAGGTGGGGAGAAGCACTGGCAATGAGGGTGGAGCTCCCCTCTGCTTAGCCCCACAGACATGGGAAGAAGCAAAACCCTCCAGCTCCTCAGGTGAGATCCAGTGGCTATGTGGGATGTAGGTGACCACTGTTGTAGAATATGTGGAAGCCTGTGGGAATTCTCTTTCCAGGGCATGTTACCGTAGAAAGCCAAAAAAGTTCAGCTTCAAAATTTTCCAACATGACTAGCAATTTTAGGTGCTTCAGTTTTGGAGAATTTAAGTGAAGATACCTTCAAACAGGCCTAATGTTCAAAAACGACAGAGGGCCCACTTTGAAAAATACCTCCACTGGGTATCCAAAAGCTGAGGAGCAATTGGAATGAAAACTTGCCATGAGTCAGCTGTAGTCTTAGGGTCTGAGTCATTACCCTGTAGCTGTGAGGATGCACAAGCTAGCTCTGCTTGAGGCTTAAGGTTGGGATTTTCAAAAGAGCCAAGTGCTAGAAGAGCCCAAATCCCATTGACCTTCAGTGAGATTTGTTTCTCAAACATTTGGGCTGCACACTTACCATTTGTGCCCTCAAACATTAGGGCTGTGTGAAACAGCACTGTTCCATTTTGACTTGCATTTCAGCGTTTCGATGGAACAGCTTTTCATTTTGAATTTAGTTTTGATTCAAAAAGGCTGTTCCATTTTGTTTAATTGAAACAGTGATGCTGCTTCAGCGCTGTCTGTAGTTTCACCCATAGGCTATAATGGGGAAGCTCGAAACAGCTTCTTTCATCCAGCAGGCAGATCAGGGGCCTGCAACCCTGGGAGGGCTGTGGGGGCTGTGCCAGTCCTCTCAGGGTTGTGGGCCCCCAATCTGCCTGCCAGATGAGGGAGGGAAGCCGGGTGCTGCCACCTCCGACCAGTGCCAGCACGCTGCTGGTCCCATGCAGCAGCACCCAGTTTCTCTCATCTGGCAGGCAGGTTGGAGCCTGCAGCCCCGGGAGGGCTGCAGGGGAGGTGCGATCAGGCTTAGTTCCCTTTCCCAGCCCGATCGAGCTGGGGAAGGGAACTGAGCCCCATCACTCAGTTCCCCTTCCCAGTGCTGTGATTCATCAGGCTGGGGAAGGGAACTGAGTGGGCTGAGTTCCCTTGCTCAGCCCGATCCTAGCGCTGGGGAGGGGAACTCAGCTTAGCTGGGCTCAGTTCCCTTCCCTAGCCTGATGGATCGCAGCACTGGGGAGGGGAACTCAGCCGGGCTGCTTTGAAACTCAAAATGTTTTGAAACTCAAAATATTTCGACTGCCCTTGTTTTGTTTTGAGGCTGTTTTGAAGCCCTCTGTTTTGTTTTGATTTCACTGTTTTGTGATCGAAATGTGTTGAAATGAAACAGCCGGTGAAATTTCACACAGCCCTATCAAACATGCCATACTGCTCTGCACTGGATGTCTTTAGAACCTAAAGCAGTGTAGTTGTGTGCAGGCTAATTAATATCCCTCAGCAGTGCTAATTAGCCAAGGCCCTTTGTTGACACAACAACTCTGCTTTCAGTTTTGGAGGCAGTCAACTTGAGACAGTATGGCATGCTTGAGGGCACTGCTGCCAGTCATCGTAGGCTTATTGTATGGCATGGGCTTAGGTGCTGTGGAAGATTCTACCCAAAGCTATCTTGCATTCCTGGTCAAAGTTGCAGGAGCCGCTCAGGAGGAGGCAGATGGAACTTACCAGGGAATAAAAACTTGGAACAAAGGTGCTGGGCACTGTCTGTTGGCCTCACTTGTTGCATCGGTTGGGTCTCGCCTTCAAAACTATCAGAAAAACAGGGTATCTCAGCTGAGTGTTAGAGCTTAATTAGCATTTGTAAACCTTTTTGAGCTGCTGGAATAACTATATATCGTTATTCTTAGTATGGGATGGAAAAGGATGACAAAAAATAACTTGGTTTCAATGCCTGGGGCACCTTCCTACTGCTGCTAGTAGTTCAATGCAACCTCTTGCACTTTGATAAGAGACAGGGCATACTGCTTTATTAAACCCCCTAAGGCTTTTTATTAGACTGTCCTGCCTGGTTCAAAAGATGGAAGCAGCAAATGTGCTTTTACCATCAGTTGAATGTAATAGGAACATGCTCCTAGCTGTAGATATTTCAATGACTGACTGAGTTTTCTTCTTGCAGAGAAGCAAAAACATTAGGAGCCATATTGTATTCCATCTATTAGGCATCTTAGTGGATGTAGATGCCTACATTCAATCTGTTCTACCCTATTTAAATCTTCCAAGTCCATTAACGTATGTACTTTTATAACCTGTTATCATCTTATTTTTACAGAATCATACAATCATAGAAGAGTAGGCTGGAAGGGACCTAATGAGGTCATCTAGTCCAGCCCCCTGCTCAGAGCAGGATCATCCTTATCTAAAACTTTTAGACAAGTGTTTGTTTAATGGGTTCTTTAAAATGTCATGAAAATTCAGGCCTGAAACATCAAAAAGCATCCTAGCTTGCCACAGGTAGAGGCAGGGTGATGATGGCACTGCCCACATGCAGCTACTGCAAGGCAACGAAGTAGTTGTTAAAATACTCTAAAGAGATGAAAGGAAGTCTTCATTTCACCCCCTTCACTCCCCACTCCCAACCCCAGCTGCAGAGAAAGAGAAAACTCCATACAGATCATGCCAGTATGACTGCAATGTAAAATTCCTTCCTGATCCCAAATATGGTGGGTTACAAAAAAGCAGCAAGGGGTGCATGTACGTGAGACGTTTACTGTGGAGCTGACTAATTATCTCTGCCATAAACGGCTCAGCATTTACACATGCATCCCTATTAGGGCACAGGAAACTAATAAATCGGACCACAGGTTAGTACTTGTAAATGCAAGTACTAGCTGGCTGCAGAGTTTTTTCATGCGTAGCAATGCACATATAGATGCTGACCCAGCTGGCTGGGGCACGAGGGTGCTTCAGTGTGGGGTAAGGGGGCAGTGCCTGCTGGCTAGCCCTACACTGAAGCACCCTTGTGCCTCATCCAACCCAACCACAGCAGGCTGAGCCGGGTTGGAGCAGTCCCAGGCTGCCATGGCTGCTTTGCCTGGGCTCCATGTGCTATGCTTGAATAAACTGCAGAGCTTATTTCTCCAGAGTTAAGTGCTTCCAGGTGCATGTTCAAACAGCACACCTGGGAGAAATTACATCTGGAGCAATAAGTTCTGCAGTTTATTCATGTATGGTGGTTACATGTATAGATGTACCCAAGGAGGAGAAGGATCCACACACCTTTTGTATTAGCTGGTTTTGAGGGACTTGAATTGAATCTGACTTAGACACCCGAGTCCACTTATGTGTACAATAAGTAAAACAGAATCTGGCGCTAGGTCTGAAGGTCTCAATTATTAGTTGTTTTTAGCAAAATAGCAATGATTTTTCTTGCCTGAAGTTTTTTCCCCCTCATGTGCATCAATGGACATGCTGTCGCTTTAAAAGCTCATCAGCAAATAATTATATCTTGGCAGCTGGATGCTCATTACTTCCTGGGCTCCATATCTGCTAACCTTTAACACTGCACTTTCTCTCCAGAATGCACTGGGCAGTGCTATCTTTTGAAGCCCTTCCTTAGAGTGCTATCAGTTCTGCATGTGTGTGCCTAATGTCTTTGTAGCAAGTTATACAGCCGCTATCCAGAATGCATTAACAGCGTCCCGAATGCATTACCAGTGGCACTCAGGGTGGCACAGCATCTTTCTTTGTCTCTAGGCAGTTTAGTGGTATGTATCCAGATTGGGATAATTAGCCTGATGTCTAACTGGGGTCACTGTTTTTAATTGACAGATTCAAAACGACCAGTGCAAGGAGATGGATTCCACAGCAGACAAATGGGTGAAGCTAACAGATAATGGTGAATGGGGCTCTCATTCTGTAAGTGCTGTGTATCACTTGATTAAGGCTCTTGTTTCATTGATAATTTAACATTGTTTCCCATGAGGTGCCAGGAAGTAAGGGCTAGATCCTGTGCATTGAAAGACTATTAAAGGAGCACAAAATCCCTTAGGATCAACATCAAAGTTGATGGATGCTGTAAAGGCCCGGTCCAAAGACTACTGAATCAATGCAGATCTTCTTCCCTTTTAATCATGCCTTTAAGAAAGCAGACAGATTTATGTGAATCAAAATGCCATGAGTCACTCTCAGCAACTAATCTAGAGGCCTGGTTGTTCATTAGTGCCATAGATTTTCTGCTTTGTGGAAAACACTGCAATCAGTGGGAGCTTCATGTGTTCATGTAAGGATGCCATTTGATCTCTTATTTTTAAGTGCATTTTGGAGCTGGGTTACCTCTAATTTGTTCACTGATTGAACTCATGAGTTTAAAATCCTATTAGCAAATAAACATAGCCATCTCTAAGGGTCTTGTTACACATTAATTTTAGATGGCTTCTGGAGCGCTTAACGACTGCCTGGATTCTCCAAAAATTAACACCTGAAACTAGTTTTAAAAACTCTTTAGGCAGTTTAAAGTTATGCCACCCCAGTGGTTTATCTCTGATCTGTGTTACCCAGCTCATGTTCCATGAATGTGTGACCACTCACCACAGATAAGGTGCCCAAGTTGCAGTCCTCCAGCATCCCAGGATGCAGTGTCTCCACCCCCCTCATCCTCCTGTTGTCTGTGGACAAAATTTCTACCCCCTGGACTATGCTGCCCAGGGATAGTTCTGGCACCAAGCCAACTGTGCCTCCAGTCCCCAGGAGTGTGATATTGCCACCCCCAGGGGTGCACCCCATGCAAACAGCCAGCAGAACACATGCCAGTTACCATGCCACAGGGCACGGATGGGTCCAGAGTGAGGTTTAGTGGGGGTGGGCTGGGGGAACAAATAGGGGGATTGGG